TCGGGGGCCCCCTAAGCGGTGCTGTTCTATACAAGGTTATTGTATGCCCCCACAATCCAGGTCCTCAATTTACCTACCTCGAAAGGATGGAAGGCTGAGTCAACCTTGAGCCTGGTGAGATTCAAACTTGCACTAATTGCAGGCAGCTGGCAGCTAAGTGCTAGCGCTTAACAGCACCTTAGTCCGCTGCACCACTGAGGTTACAGTGGTGATGGGTGCACCCTTGGGAGACTTGAAGAGATAGATTGGGGACAGATTGTCAAGAAGGACATCTATCTATGCGGGCATCAAGAGTTGACAATGCCTTGAGTACACATAATCAATTTTTTAAAATGCAGCATGAGCATGCCGAAACAGAATTGGCACTAATTTTGCAGTGAAGTACTTGAATGCACAGAGTTTCCTATATAAATATTGCCACTATCTGTAGGTAGCAAAATAAAATAAATTACCATAAATAAATATATAGTACATTTGATAATCCCACAACCTATTAAAATACTCATCTCTGCATGCGATTACACCATAGGGATGAAACATAAGTATGCACTACCTGCTGTAACAAAAATATTACATTATCTTCATGCAAGAGAGAAGTCAGATAATCATAATGGCATTCTTGCCCCTGGCCCTATTCTCTACTCTTGACTCAGTAAAGATGTGATCTTGCCTCAAGCCCAATAGTAAACCAATAGTGAAGCTACAAAGATAGAAGCTCAAGATTATGGTCAAATTCAGCATCTCAATTTATACAGGAGTTTATGATACTTAACACATGGTACTATATCCACATGGAGAGAAGTAAGCAATGGAGTACCACAAGGCTCTATCTTAGGCCCAGTACTCTTCAATATTTTCATAAATGATTTAGATGAGGGAATAGAAGGGGAACTCATTAAATTTGTAGATGATACTAAGCTGGCAGGAATAGCTAACACCCCAGAAGACAAGCTCAGGATCCAAAAAGATCTTGACAGACTTGAACAAAGGGCCCTATCCAATGAATTTTAATGTGGAGAAAAGTGAAGTTTTACATTTAGGCAGGAAACAAAAATCAAAGGTATAAGTGCAGATTAGGCGAGACCTGGCTCAAAAAGAGTAACTGAGAGGGACCTTGGAGTCTTAGTGGATGATCACTTGAATATGAGCCAGCAGTGTGTCAGCTTTGGAAGCCGTATTCGGCCGGAAGCTTCCATGCTGCCACCTTCTCATGTGTAGGGAAAGTAGGGATTTAGTAGAGGGGTTGTCTGTAGACATAATAGCATTCTTCCTATCGGTCAAGGTCAGGGCGATCCTGCATCTGGAAGAGTGGTCGGAGTGATGTCTCGAGATGGGACGGCGGTTGATTGGAGCATGTGATCGACTGAGGACTGAGGGGATGGTTTTGGGGGTTTTGATTTACTGAGGGAAAAACCGGACCTCTCAGATTCAGGTTTTCCCAGATGTGCCAGTTTACCTATTCTAGTAAATAGAACTTTGAAAATGCTTGCTTCAGAGTCTTTACTTGGAGCTGGGTGTGTGTGTGTGTTTCTGGAACGCTGACTGTACAGCAGCAGCCAAAAAATGTAATAGAATCTTGTATAAACAGAGGCATAGATCACGTGAAGAATTAGTACTACTTTATTTATTTATTATTTATTTATTTATTAATTCAATTTGTATGCCGCTGTTGTGACCCCGACTCCCGAGCCTGTCTTAACAGAGGAGGAGGACTCAGAAGGTGATGGGGAGGAACTGATAAGGCCTCCCTCTCCAGGACCCTCCTTTCTGGCAATGCCTGTTCTGTCCCCGTCTCACACACGCACACAAACAGTCAGCCAGGGGTTAAATAAAACTTGCAGACAATAAATTCCTTCGATAACAGGATTGGCAGCAACCCAGGAGCTGCTTGCCAAGAACTTTACTCACAGAGGGAGGTGTTCCTCCTCCGTCAGATAAACCAAAACAAATACACAAAGTCAAAGAATTGTCAAGTCCAGTCCGTATTAAATCCAAGGCAGGCAGATAACATAGTTTCAGAGATACAATGCGACTCGCTAGTTGTTTAGTTTTGTCTGTCACAGAGCTTGAATGGCCACCACACCCCCTTTTATCCCCTGTGGGGTGTGGTCGTGACTCAGCTTAATCTCTGGCATGCTTCCTTTTCTGCTGCGTGCGCTTGTTTCTCGGACGCTGGCGTGGATCCAGCCAAGACTTATCTCCGTCACTGTCCAACTGCGACTGCTCGGCGATACCTGGCTCCTGGCCAATCTCTTCTCCTTTGGGAGACACCTGAGGCATTGCCAGAGAGGAGGGTCCTGGAGAGGGAGGCCTGGCCAACTCCTCTCCTTCACTTTCGGAGCCTTCTCCCTCGGATAAGACGGGCTCGGGGTCGGAGTCACAACAATGCCTGAAGTTCCATCCGAAGGCCAGGAAGAACAGCCTGGGATGTGCCAGGAGGAAGGCATATCGGAGCACCAATTGATAGGGAGCAAGGATGATGAATCCTGGCTTGATCCCAGGCAGTGTTGGAGGGAGAAGCGTGTGCAGCAACGGAAGAGGCGTGGGAGGGCCAGAGATTGAGCTGAGTCACAGAGCCACACCCCACCAGGAATAAAAGTGGGATTGCTCTTCAGGCTTTGTGACGGACAAAGTTAAACCCTGAAAGTCACATCGTGATCTCTGAAATTTGGCTTGGATATATTTTGGACTGAACATTGACTAAACTCTTGTCTCATGGATAATTTGTTGCTCCTGGAACGGACTGAAGATAAGTCCTCTTCTGCTTTATGGGAGTGAAAACGGTCTTGGCAGGCATTCGGCAGTTTGCTGCCAAAACCTTGGTCTGCCAGGAATTCTAATCTGTTTACCTAATAAAATATTGGCAGGCATGCTTGGTATTACGTTTGCCTGTGTGAGGAAGGGGGACAGAACAGGCGCCCCTCTCCGAAGACTCAGACTTTATAAAACCCTAGTAAGACCACACTTGGAATACTGCAACCACTTTTGGTCACCATATTACAAAAAAGATGTTGAGACTTTGGAAAAAGTTGAGAAGAGCAACTAAGATTATCAAAGGCCTGGAGACTAAACCATATGAAGAACGGTTGCAGGTTTTGAGTTTGGCTAAAGAATAATTAGGGGCGACATGATAGCAGTATTCCAGTATTTGAGGGGCTGCCACAAAGAAGAGGGTGTCAAATTATTCTCCAAAGCACCAGAGGGCAGGACAAGAAACAATGGTCGGAAACTAATCAGAGAGAAGAACCTGGAATTAAGAAGAAATTGTGGAACAGCTTGCTTTCAGAAGTTGTGGGTGCTTCATCACTGGCAGTTTTTAAGAGACTAGTCACTTATCTGAAATGGTGTAGGTTCTCCTGCTTGAGCAGGGGGCTGGATTAGAAGACCTCCAAGGTCCCTTCCAGCTATTCTATTCGATTTGTCAGAGTTTTAAACTCTTTGAAGCATCTCTTGTGAATAGATTGTCAGAATCACTGGAGTTCAGAAGACTGCTACCTTCTTCGTCCTGTATTCAATGTTCTTAATATTTTTCTTTACTTAAAATGGTGCCTTTCAAACCATTTTTTTCAAGGTACTTTACAATACTCCACAGAACCGCTGAACTTTCGATCGACAAGCTCAGCGTCTTAGCCACTGAGCCACCATGTCCCTTTGTTAAAACTAGAAATGATTAAAAATGGGCAACATGTGAGCAAAAATAAAATAATGGGTACAGGCTGTCCTCAACTTATAGTGACTGTTAAAGTAATAATGGCATTGTCAAGTGACTTATGACTGGTTTTTACATTTACAACCATTGTAGCATCCTCATGGTCATGTGATGGAAATTTGGGTGCTTGCCCAGTCATATATTTATGACAATTGCACTGTCCCCAGGTCATGTGATCACTATTTGTAATCTTCCCACCTGTCTTCTGTTAGAAATTCAATGTGGGAAGCAAGATTCACTTCAGTTAAGTAATTTAACTGTAATTTAACTGTAATTTAAGCAGTAATTTGCTTAACTGGCAAAAAAAAAAAAGTCATAAAATGGGCCACAGCTCAATCACTGGTTAGTAATGGAAATTCTGGCCATCACTGTGGTCATAAATAGAGGACTTCCTGTAGTTGAATTGGTGTAAAAGTTCGAATGCAGCCTAACAGCTCGGCTATTAATAATTGAAGGTCTGGAAGCAGAGCTCTGCTCCTGTGGCTGGAAAGAGCAGCTAAAAGTTGGAGAGGCCAGACTTGGAGAGCGACCACTAGGGTAGTTTGGTTGTATGGTCATAAAAGGGCACCTACAGCACAACCTCTGTGGCAAGCCCTTCACAACAGTTCACAATAGAGATTATGAATGGACTTTTAAGAGATGGAAGCTATAAAAAAGATTAAACCAGGGAAACGTTCCTGGATGAGATGGGTTATTGGGTTATTATAAATGTGTTGAGGATGAACTTTTTATAAGCTTTGCAAAATATGATTTTATTTTACAGGAGAAAATATACCAGAGACTTGGAAAACTATTTCAACTATTGTTAAGTATAAAATATAAGGTAGGATTTTTTCTTAGTTTTGCTTTTGTTATATTTCAAAGATTACATACTGCCTTGATTAAATGTGTATGTATGAACAATGAATAAAAAAATAATAATAACCCCCCAAATTTTGAAAATATTTCTCAGTCAGCATGGCCTAGACATTAATATTGCATTCAAAATGCATGAATAGGATGTATATACTTGTTGGCATCAACACAATCTTCTGGTCCTCAGAACTACATGCTATACTGGGAATAAAACCTTGAGCCTCTAATGTTTTGGACTTCACTGAGGATATCAGATCAAGAGTTCTAGGTTCGAACACAGTGTCGTATGGAATTGAGCACCAGGTTGGGAAAAATGAACTCCGTTCTTGTAACAATCCAAGTAGCTCTTTCAGCAGCAATGGAGCCGACAACATATTGCTAAAAATCTAGGTCTGTACTTCGACTTTTCCATAGAAAGTATTTATCTACTACTGTATCGCAAAAATGGATATTCTATTTTTATGTTTTTTTATTAGTCTACATAAGGCATCTGGCAATGTTGAACATTCTGGAAATTAAAGGTAAACCATTACATTACCGTTGAATATATTTGAAATCAATCAAACACTAGAGCCTATTAAGAAAAAGGTTAGAACTTCTAGATTGCAGCGATATGTAGGCGATGTTGCATAATAAACAGGATTCTCTCTCAAGTAGACTTCTCGGAGATCCCCTTAAAATAGACACAACATGAAAAGTTACTAATGGAACTACAAACACAGTAGAAGAGAACGACCATTCCATTCCATAGAATTGGGTTGTGAACATTCAGAAGAGTTCTAAACAGGAAATAATTTAAAGCACAAAAGTGGAAATAAAATCAGAGGTTCTTGGCTTGGTGATTTAGATCATGGGTAGGCAAGCCTAAAGCTTGCTGTATTTACTTCTTTATTTACTTCACCCCTCATCTCTCAGCAATAATCAACATCTAGTGCAAAAGAAACATTTTGCATTAGGAGGGACATACAGATGTTCTATCTTTAGCATTTAATATCTTGTATCAAAAATTCAGGACAGGTATTAGTTACTGGTGAACAATTCATTCCTGCTATTTTTCCAGAAGAAATCTTGCTTCTGCATAAAAGTTGGGTTTTAGACATTTACTCTTTCTGATTCCGCTTGCTAAAAAGCTGGGGAGAACCCAGGTATTTGATGAAGTACCATCTCCAGCCAAAGCTGATACAAAAATGGATTTGTAAAGTTTAAGTGTTACACTGGCTTTAAGTTATCTTTATTACAACAGGAGTTCAAACAACAGAGGAAAAATGATAAATATTATTCAAAAAGCATATTGTTAAAATGTGAAGCAGTGAATTTTGGAATATAGAACTTTTTAAACAGCAAGCCAATTTCTGCCTTTATTTTTAAGAAGTTATTTTAATATCTTTGGGGATATTTTTTAGTAAATGTTTTCCTATTACAACTTTATTGGGCAAATATATGAGAAAAAACATCTTCAGGGATATGTAAAAAATATTACTTTGGGAAGATAACTTCTGCAGAACTGTGCTAAACCTTCTCTGGCCCATGCTGCTGAACTGCTTGACATGATTTTGGGGTGCTCCTGGCATGTCGGTGCCACGCCAACTAATTTTGTACATCTCTGTTTTGGCATAAAGCATAACATAGTTCTAAAAGGAAGACAAAATGTGAATTTCTACTAATCTTCAACACAGGCTGTTTTCAATTTTCATACACAAGCACATGAAACAATAAGCAGGGTACAATGAGAGGAAATGGAAAGCCGCAGATGCTTTAAAGTGAACTTGAGAATAGCGGTACTGCTTATTGGAGATGACCCATTCACCACTACCAATGTCAAGTCCAATTTCCAAAATGAGGCCAATAGGAAACAATTCCTCTGGGGCTTCATCCAGCAAATGCAGGCTCACAGCAGTTCTGTTTTTTTTTTTTTTTTAACCACAGGACCATTCCATTCTATTCTTATTCTATTTACAGGCCTTTCAGCAGAGCAGTTTCCTAGTTCTTTTCTGAAATAGATATAAGGAAGAGCCTTGAGGATTGCCACGTGTTGCTGCAACAGAAGAGGAAGCATAGCTCTGAACTGCTTTTGTCTCCAACCGCTTGCGAAGTCATTGCCTCAGAAATTTTGCACGATTAATTTTCGCTTGATGTCACGGCTGAACTTGTTCATCTTGAACAAATCACTATCGAAGAAGGCAGAAAGATTGTGGATGTTGATTTGACGGGCCTGGCAAAGAGAAAGGGAGAGGGACATGGATAGTTAAGCGACGATCAAATTTTCAGAGAGAGGTTGTGGCAGCTTCTCTGCATTAAGATATTGTTCACTAAAACATATAATTTGGTCAGGATAAATGTTTACATATGGTTATTGATCTGCAATATCCACTATTCACAATATCTGTGTCTGTCTAATTTAAATGATTGCTCATCTCACTTTAGCAATTCTAAACAGCTAACAACATATATAAACAGAATCCAAAATGTGATTTTGTTTTACTGAATTTGGAATTGAATCTGGAAGAATCTATGTCTTCAATGCTTTCTGGCAGTTTGGCATAATTGGGGTCAACTGAATCTTGAGGGGGGGTGGGGGCATGGTGTTCCAAAAGGCAGATGCTGCAGCAGAAAAGACGCACTTCCTGGACCCCATAAGATAATATTCCTTAATTGTCAGAATGTCTAGCTTGCCTTTTCTGTCAGACCTAAACGGGATATTGTAGAGACTGCAAATACGCTAGTCGCATGCCATGAAGAGCATTCTAGGTGACAATCACCTAGCCCAGGGGTCAGCAACCTTCTTCGGCTCCAGAGCCGCATGCGGCTCATTGGGCCCTCTGCTGTGGCTCCCTGTCAGGAGATCCCACCACTGGCTGGCCCTGCCCCTCGCCCTCCCCTCCCGGTCACTCCTCGCTTGACCTGAGAAGGTAAGGGCGACGGCAGGGGATGGGATAAGCAGCCAGGGCAGAGACACAGAGATACAGAGAGAGGGGGAGAGAGAGAGACCTAGAGAGATACAGAGAGAGAGGGGGGAGGGAGGGGAGAGGGAGATATGTCAAAAGGATTTTGTGGTTCCCGGTGTTTTTTAACAACTGGTTCTCTGCCCTAATGACTGGCTGGGTAGGCGTGGTTAGGGTGGTGTCATTTGACTGGTGGAAGTGAGTGACATCAAGTTGGCCACGCCCACCCAGGTTTTGTGGTTCCCGGTGTTTTCTTTTCTGTGGGAAATGGGTCCAAATGGCTCTTTGAGTATTTAAGGTCACAGACCCCTGACCTAGCTGCACCTGGAAGCATAATGAAAGCTAATACAGCTTGCAAAGCAGAGGCTAACCAAGGTACATCCGTAATTGTGCATGCTGCCACAATCTGAACCACCTGCAGTTTTTAGATATTCTTCAAGGGCAGCCCCATGTGACTACTCATCACAGTAGTCCACTTGGACAAGGCAGGATTGTTCTATTGAATCAGGGGTGGGTTCTACATTTTTTTACTACCAGTCCTGTGGGTGTGGCTTATTTTGTGGGTGTGGCTTGGTCATGTGACATTTAGGATTTAGCAGAGGTACTGGTCTACCAGGCTTTTAACTGCTTGCAGTGCTGTACCGGTCCTCTCATTTGTTTTTGCAGGCACTGGTCTACCCATTTATTTTTGTACACACCAGTCTACTCATTTGTTTTCTTTTAACACTGATCAGCTGTAGGGCGGCCCTTTGAAGCCCCACAGCAAGAGTTTAAGTAGTTTTTTTCCTTCTAGCTATCAGCTGGGACTCAGGAGGCTGCAATAGATTGGGGGTGGGGCCAAATAAAAGGTAAGAATAACACGGGGGGGGGGGGGGAGGGGGAGAACCGGTTTGGTGATGTCATATTGTCACCGCTACCGGCTCGGCGGAACTGGGCCGAACTGGGTGGAACCCACCACTGTATTGAATGTACCATATGGGAAAATAGATAATTACATTAAAAGAGATAATTTCCTCTTTACAGGTAACACTGATATTTGACAACAAAGCATGCATTGCAATTTTTACGTCTTTTTCACAGAAAATAAAATGGGTCTATTCAACATCCCAAAATCCTGTTGGATGCAAAACCACAGCACAGTACAGCGACAACACACACACACACACACACACACACACACATATATATATTCCCCAATTTCTCTCCTTCCAGTGAGATCATTCCCTCTTCATGATGTCCTTGTGATCCTGACCACTAATTTCTCACATTTTGGGGTTCAGAACAATACAAAAATGTAACCCCAGAAGAGAGCAACTTTCCTGTTGTTCTAACATCTCATGCTTTTCTTTGCAACAAAAGAAAAGTGCTCACTTAGAAAGGGAAACCAAAATTGACTAGATTTAGTCTTGGTACAATGTCCACAAAAGGGAATGATGTTCCATACCTTATCAATTAAGTCTTTCTCCGGCACTTCAGTGGTGTCCTGTTGTGCTCCATAGCGATTCCTCTGATACGTCATCTGTTCTGATACAAGTTGTTTCAAAATGAACAGCAAGAGCTCGTTGTTATCCCTCCTGAAGGCAAGGTATCGGGAAAAAGTCTGTGTGCAACAAAGAACAAGAGGGGAGGTCAGGAATGAACCAAAAGCAATTTGAAATTATCTATTTTAATGTACCTATAGGTTTTAACAAGCAACTCTAGCAAGCTTACAGCAAAATGAATCCATGCAGACAAAGCAAAGCATCCCAGCTAGTACAAATATAGCAACATCCCCAAGCAGTCACTCCACTGATTCCCTACTCATTACCAATCCTCACTGAAAAACACAGGTTTTTTTTTACAGTGCTTTTGAAATGTTAATAAGAAAAGAGCCATGCTCACCTAGAGGGATGTGAACTGTTTTAGGGTGAGGGGACTAAGGTCCCAACCAAAAAGTTTCCTTTAATGGTTGTCAGGGGAAAAATCTGCAACATCCCCTTTCACGTTGCATGTATCAGGTGAGCAAATTCTATGTCCTTAGAGTGAGCAAGGAGCCAAGCCTATAAAGGATAACCAGCATCTTGAAGCAGACTGACCGAATTTTCCAGTAGACAATGCAACTGCAGAAAATTGGCATTCTGCTGCTGGACTAGCTTCTACCGACTAGACAACAGGGACTACTAAGTACATTGTATATAATCTCCTAGAGCGATTCCACATAGAGTGAATTGTAATAATCAAGGGAGAGATGATAAAGGCACAAATCACAGTTGAAAAACGGAACATTCTAAAGCTGTTTCAATAAAAAAATGAATGTCTCTGATGTAAATAAAAGGATTTTAATCACCATCTATTTTAAATACAATACTGGCCTACTGAAGGCACACTTGAGGATTCACTCTTATTTTCTTAAGGGAGCAAACAGCTTTCCAAAAAAAGTTTGGTTACTGAATAGTTAAAAAGTTAAAAGATCCCAAAACACTTTCCCAGGACTTTATTTATTTATTTATTTATTTGATTGTTTGTTTGCTTATTTGTATTAAACCCCAGGCAAGAATGGAATAATAATACACAGTTAACTGAAAAAAAGTTTTTGAAGCTGGAATTTTGGTAGTTTAATGAGCAAGCATTTAAAATATGAATTACAAATTAATCTCACTGAATTTTACCCCTAGTTTGTTTAATTTATTTGACTTAAGACACAGACCCAACTCCAAATGTCTCTAGGTGGCTCACAACATAATAAAATTAATCAGAATACAATTCAAAACCAATAAAAACAATTAAGGTAAAAACCAAAATGGACCATCAATGACTTGGGACAGATCCATACAGGTCAGGACTACCCCAAGGCCAACATCGCATGGCAACAGATTAAAATCCCCAACGGACTCCAGGATTCTGTCACCAGCCTAGCAATGGAACTTAATTACCAACATTCAGGCAGGGATGATGCTGGATAGCAGAAAGGGTGGTAAAACGAACAACAATCTGAATTGCCTACCAGAGCCCACCTTCAGAAGACTGTCTCACATCTGATTATCCACGGAGCAGAGCTTCTCAGGGTTTCATGGACAGCAATAACAACACCTCCATCTCTTTCCTGGGGTCTCAGTTGATGGAAACCCTGAAACCCAGGTGGACACTCCGCTCTGGGCCCATCAGGTTTTGATGAGACACGCCAGATTGGTGCCCTCATTCAAGGTGGAACCTGCCCCAGGTTCCCACCATGTCTCCTTCTACCCATCCCTGTCCCAATGTTCCTGCCCGCTATCTGTAAACCATCACCCCACCCTTTTACTCCTTCCTCTCAGGCTAATGCCCAATCATACGCATACCCAACTCAATACCCTAACAATCCATCTTGCCCCTCAAGGAACTCAACCATCCTCCATCCATTCTTGCCCAAGAACTCATGGCCTCCAGGAGGACAGGCCCCCAGTACAGAAAGAACAACAGGCCACTCATCTATCCATCAAAATGGGAGAGATAATTACTAAATCAAAGCAAGGATCACAGAAATAACTTTGTCAAATACTAAAATGGGCAATATAATTTTTTTTCTTCTACATTTGATTTTTATAGGGGAGGGCAGAAACATAAGAGTAAGAAATAACCTTCAAATTTCTGGACCTTCTGGACTGAAAGCAGGCAAAAACGTTGTTAAAGTACTCACATTTTGTAAGCACTCAACTGATTCAAAGTTGTCTATAAGCTGCCTAGACATGCATACAGAACATAATTTTTTATTCACTGTATGTTTTAATCTCACCACTCCATCAAGAAGTTCAGGATAATGAATATGGTTGTTTATTCATATTTTAGCCTTCCAAACTAAGGTTGATCTGAGATCGCTCAGTAAATTCCCTAAAGAGTGGATTAGAAATTGATCTCTCTGATCACATCAAAGGCCTTTCAAGTTGGCCCAATTCTAATATTAACTTTAGTGTCTCCGGCGTCCAACCCTCATTTCAAAAGCTATTTCATTCATCAGGAGTGTGGATGACAGGGCCCTTAGCCTATTCCTTTGCCATTTGGCAGCATTTTCTAGGATTCATTACTGGGATTCATTGAGGTCCAAGCAGGGCATTTACTCATCTGTTGAACAATCCAAAAAGAAATGCTTTTAAGCAAGAAATAATATTCTTTGTTTTCAGCCTGAGATTTCACCATCTTCTAAGATCAAACTGCTAGTTTAGCTGACAGTCTTACCTGTCCTAAGAGACTCTGCATGGATACCTAGAGATTCTGGATAATTTGGGAGAATTATTGTAATTTCTCTATCAATCTTTTCCTGCAATTTCCAGTTGACTAGGATAAGTTTCAACATACTATACACACAATAATGGAGACAATAGAAAGAGTCTATAATTTACTGTCCATAACAGTGTGCAGTGCATAACAGTGTCCAAGATAACATCTGAGTCCTTGTTTAAAGTCGGCTCCCTGAATCCTCACTGGAGGTCTTAAATTCTCGTGGTATTTTTCCATAATCCCAAATGAAACCACCACCACAACGAAAGGATCCACATCTCTGCATACCTTCCGCATGCTTCTCATAACACTAAACTTCTGTGTGTCGATGAAACTCTCCAGCATGACCCTGATGGCCATGTTGACATCGTCCTCCACCACGTAATCCCGCAGGTGCATGCGAGCATGAGCCTCCGCCATTCGGATCATGGACTCTATGTGACGCACTGTGATGGGGATACTCCCAGTTGCCTGCAGAAAGAAAAGGGAAAGGCCCTGATGACTGATTCCAGCAATGCAGAAAAGGGCATCCCAAGAATGGCATGTGACTTGCCAGCATCCTTTTTATGCTCCCATATGCCCCACCTAAATGTGCCCTAAAAAGCAGTTGGGGAGCTTTGAAGAGGATCAATGGATGCCTTAAAGACTGACAGGCTTAAGACATCTACTTTACTTCTTAAAACATCTGACCTTATCCATAGTGGATCCTGTCCTCAGCCAATTTTAGAGTGTGGTCCTTGTTCTGCCACACAAAGTGATTCAGAAACTGGCTGAAATTGCACACCATTAAGTTACAGCCTGCCTTTCTACTCTGGGGAGCTGTTAATGCTGCATGGAGCTAATTAAAAACAAATAACGGTGCATAGGAGATAGTAAATAGGAAAAAAAACCCACTAAAAAAAGTCTGTTTAAAAGGCATCAATGATTAATGGAGGACTCTGCCATCTGCTGGCAAACTAGTGCATTGCATAGATTATAAGGAATATGCCTCCTTAGGGGTTATTCCCACTACTTCTTTTTTTCAGGAATCCGGACCTTTTTTCTTTGATCCTTGAGCTGACATCTAGCCAAAATGCTATCAGTTCTCTCTATTAGACAAGTTGTCAAAACAAACAAACAAACCCCAAGGATGGGAGAACAAAGTCCAAAGATCAGGCTAGATGTTTCTATAACCCAAAGGACAGGTTTTATATATACACTGATGCAATAGTTATTGGCAGATATTTTGGTGAACAATTGTATCTAGCTTTCAGGGACAAATTAAGCAGTAAAGAATTCAGAAGAAGATAAAGACTTGCATATTCTTTGGGTGGGTTCTAATAAGGCCAGTACTGATTTATAGATTTGGGGACTTTTTCATGAACCATTGTAATTAAATGGCTGCTTCTAAAAAGAACCAGATTTCAGATTTATCGGGACCAACATTTCTTCCAGCTCCATTTAACTGGTGAGAGGAGTAGTGATTCTGCAGGTGACAGTCTCTCTCTGAAACATAGGATTTCCCACCTCCCTGGTTGCTTACCATGGATTCTTTCCTGAGTTCACTATACATCCTGGCCACTTTGTCCTGGTCCATCTGATTGAGTTTGGGATGGACTTTTTCCTTTGCGTAAATAATGTATTTCTTCAGGACCTCCTGTGGAATAGGCTCTACGCCATAAGAATTAGGGAGGATAATCTCTTGAGACTCTCCATTTACTGCATCCTTGCTGTTTGGGTGATGCTTAATGTGGCTACTGACAACAAATCGAGCCAGCATCTCATCCTTCCAGAAAGAATTGAAAAAAAGAAAAACAAACACAAAACACTGATTTTATATCATTTACTATAAGATAATCTCAAAAGTTAATTTTCCAAATTGCCTGAATGGATTTTTGACAAGAACAGGTAGTCCTTGAGTTACGATGGCAATCAAGATGGGAATTTCTGTCTCTAAGCGATGCATTCATAAAGTTGCTTAGCCACAACAATCTCTGCAGTCCCAGTTGTTGCACAATTGTTAAGGTGTTGTGCCCTTCCCATAACCAAAGTCAATGAGGAAGCCATCAGGAAGTTGAAAGTCTCGGGCCAGTGGACAGGTGAGTGGTAGGAGCAGATGAAGAGGGTGTTGCAGCGAGCCTCAGGGAGGGTGCAAGAGAGGCACAGCGTGGGTGTAGTGTGAGTCCAGAAAGGTGTGCAAATAGCTGGCATGGTGTGAGTGCAATGTTGGGAGAGTATGCAGATTGGGGAGAATAGCAACCTCTTCTCTGCCGTTTTCTCCTATTGACTTTTTGGGGAAACCAGCAGGAAGGTTGCAAATGCTGATCATGTGATTGTGGGGTGCTACAACCCAGTCCTATGTGCGAACTGGTTGCCAAGCACACAGATTGCAAGCACATGCCATGGGAGTGTTGGGACAGCCAGAATATGAGGACTGGTTGTAAGCACCATTTGTTCAGCAAAGTTGTAATTTCAAACTGTCACTGATTCAAAGGTTGCAGTTTGAGGACTGCCTGTATGCTTATCAAAGTGTTCCTGTGAGTTTTGCTTTCCCAAGATAGACACGAGGTCAATGGTATTAGCCAATTCCATTTTATGTAACTCCCTTCTTCATTCAGTAAGTATTAAAATGACAGGCCCTTCATTAACCTTCCTTAAGTCTAATAGGCAGAACCTACCTGAACAGGATCCACAGTGTCCCTGACCACACACAGGATATCAAAGCGAGATATGATGGGCTCGGTCAGGTCAACGTTTTCTGAGAAAGTCAAAGAAGGGTCATAGCGCCCGCCTAGAATAGGAAAAGAAGCATTTTTTTAAAAAACAAAAACAAAAACAGTGCATGCTCTCGTTCCTTTCAGGATCCAAAAGACAGGAAGTTTTTAAACAGGAAGTTTAACACAATATGTGGAACTTTTTGCCATAGTTTTGAGTTTTTCTTCCATGGGCCCCACATACCTATGGGGTTGGCAGCAGCAATAACAGTGCAGCGAGCTTGTAGAGAGGTGACAATGCCAGCCTTGGAGATGGAAATGCTCTGCTGTTCCATGGCTTCGTGGATGCTGGTCCTATCCTGATCGTTCATCTGAGGAACAAGCAAAAGACGTTAAAACTCCAATTAGCCCCAATAATAAATAAAGCAGAATTCAGATGTACACATTCAAAGCATGTCTTAAGAAGTTCAGTGCCTCTAGATATAGAAATATTATCAAGGACAGGAAGTATCTTCCAGCTAGAATTGTTAATACTGAGTTTCAAAGCCATTTTCTCCCATCGCATATTAACCAGCACTGTGCTATGTTCTCCCCAAGGTATCTTCACTTATAGATTTCACTACATTAAAGAATCTTCGAACCAGCATCCTCCAAACCGATCAAATCCCCCACCAGATTTAATATTCCGAGCAGTTTTTCCTCAGTTCCAGATCTTAGGACTGACTCTTTCCAGATAGGTCCTAAAATCCAACCAGTCTTCTCCTCTCTCAGCTTCATTTTCTGTATTCAAGGTCTTACCTAGAGCAACTTATACTGTTGGAATCTGGAATCTGGCTTGACCAAATTACGTCATGCCTCCAAAGCCAATACTTGCCTTGTCAAATTCATCTATCAAGCACACCCCTCTGTCTGCCAGCACCAGGGCTCCAGCCTCCAAGGTCCATTCCTTGGTTACAGGATGTCTCTGCACATAGGCAGTCAGACCAACTGCAGAAGCTCCCTGGCCGGTGGTGAATATCGCTCTGCTGGCTACTTTCTCCACATATTTGAGGAACTGAGACTTGGCTGTGCCAGGATCGCCACAAAGCAACATATTGATGTCTCCACGGACTTTGTGTTTTCCTCCTGTAGTGTTTTAATATGGAAAGAACAGTGAGCCAAATTGCAGATGGCACAATGAGACAAAATGTTACATTAGAACTTCAGAGACTTGAGATCAGATGGTCCATCGAAGCTCGCCCAGTGACCCTGAACCAGGATTCATAATGTTGCTCTGAATAAGGACCGCTAGGTAATGAAGGAAGAGAATCAACTATATGGCTTATAAGGGCAGGGTTAAAGCATAATATATGAAATAAAGCTCATTTACATACTTTAAAATATCTGATTGCTTTCTAGGAGAAGTAGTCAGATAAAGTGATATAGCAATATGAAGAAATAAGCTGATTGAGAAATGGTCTGCTTTACTAGTATTCCCCATACTATTAATTCTGATTAATAAGACATCAGTACAAAGGATAGTAAAACAAAAAAAGAAAAAGAATCTCTCCACCTCATTTCAGAATAAGGTGAGTTTCTGATAAAACTGGGCAGACGGAAAAAGAAATGTGGTGTATGCATACTTTATTACATATACTTATTTACAAACTAGATAAAACTGGGGGAATTTCATGTTTGAACTTTTTGGTGGTAAGAAATTGCTGTTATTTTCTGGAATAAATTACTAAAATGGAGAATAGCTTATTAATAGGGACATGTGCAACTATAAAAATAAAAGATGAACATCTTTTCAAGCCATTTCTCTCTGCTATAATAGAGGTATCCTCTCTAGCAACTTAAAGCTCTTCATGTAAAAGCAGCATTGATCATGAAGTGTCTTTGGTCAACTTACCTGGGTTTTTGGGTTCTCCTCCAAACAGGGCTAGAGCCAGCCCCCTTTTGATATCTTCATGCCCATAGATGGAAGGAGCAATGCTGGCAAAGATCTGGGAAAAGCAAATACATGGCCAACATATTTATCAACAGACACACTAAAAGTGAAACAGTACTACTACAATGGAAATCTCCTATTAAACCTTGAATGATTGTACACTGTTTGCACAATTATTAGGCAAGTTGTATTTTGGAAGATTAATTTTATTATTGAACTACAGTCAATCCAAAATGTTAATAAGCCTCAAACCTGAATATTTAAGAAAATAAAAGTGAGGTTTTGGCTTTCTTAGGGGAATATCTATGTGTGCACAATTATCGGGCAACTATTAACCTGCAGAATTATTCAAACCTGAATTTGCAATAAAACGTTTGGTTCTCTGATCACACCCCAATATCTTAGCAATTTCAAGAGTGTTGCATCCCTCTGAAAGACTTTTTATAATTTTTTACTTTTCATGTCAGTTAAATCTCTTTTTGGCCCATTTTGCCTGAGGAAAAAAAGCTGCCTAATAATTATGCACACCTTGGTATAGGGTGTTGATTCCCTTAGGCCACACCCTCCCTCATGCAAATACACATCACCTGATATACTTATATCCATTAAGCATTCAAGTTTATACAGCTTGGAGATGGAATATATGCATAAAAATGATGATACGGTCAAAATACTCACTTGCCTAACAATTCTGCACGCAGTTTATAGCAAAGTCCTATTAAACCTACAATGACTGTATAGCAAAGTCACCAGGAATCAGTCTGGGAAGACAAAAGCAGTAAGGCCTCGCTCCTTCCAGAATGTTTTAATTTCCCTGGCTAGACTATAGTCCTGGGATTTTCTGGAGGTCTCCCTACAGGAGATGATTTTTAAAAGGAGATTATATCGGCAATGATTAAATGCTAGCATTCTACAAAATGGGCAATAATGCAATTAGCTGGAAGAAATATATCATTTTGTATTACCAATAAAAGCTATGGAACTTTGATAAAGAAAAGCTAGTGCTGAGTTGTAACAGACACATGAGGCTTTTTGAAAGTTTCCATTTCACAGGTTGTGAATGAAGGAAGCCAATGAGCAAGTCTTCTGAAGACTTTTGGGAGGAAATCTTCTGATTGACCCAACCTTGTAAAGGATTTTGTGGTTAACATCTAATGAAAATTATATGTAACTATATATATATATGTAGAAGAAATAAGAAAAGAGAGAAGGTTCATCTAAACATTTAACACCCATTCTTCAGTTGGGTTTTAGTGGTTGAGATTAAATTTTGGGATGGACTTAATTGAGTTGGATTTAATTGTTAAAGCTTACTGCTCTTCTGAATATTATTTTTCTTCTTTCTGGGAGACAATAAGAGTCTATGTAATGGAGGAAAATAACAGCAATAATAGAAATAATAATTTCTTTTAGTAAAAATGTAATATTTTTACTAAAAAAACCTATTGCTCATGAAACAATTTGTTTAGACATATTCCAAGTATGGATAGTGTGAATTCCGAACATTAAAGCAGACAAAACACAAACTGAACAGGTCCCATAGTAATACTTTCATAGATGTGCCTACAGCTCCTTGAAATCATCTTGGAACAGAAGGAGAACTGCTACTGCTATGGTAGTAATCTAGTAATTAGATTCTAATAATCTACTAATCTCTGGAGCTTTCATAATGTTGAACTTGGAACAAGAAACCAGAACCTTGTATCTTGACTTTCAAACTCACTTTCTCTCCAATCTGCTCATCTTTAGACAGTCCTACAATAACTTTCATATCCTCATCTGTGAGCTCCCCAACGGCCACCTTATTATCTTTCTTGGTGATGTGATTGGCCAGGATCACAGTCGCAAACACTGGAAACCCATTCGCAGTATTCAAAGAGCCATCATAATTATTATGGTATATTCCAGTTAGCTCCTAAAAGACAAGAGCAAGATATTCTTTAGTCATTGGCACTAAATTAATTTGTATAATTTAGGGACAAGGCAGACAAAAAGAGGGAGAAAGGAAGTGTTTAAGGAGCATGAACAAAAGCAGACACCACCATATTATTTGTGAAGTACTAATAGAACAAATAACTAATGACAGATAGACCTCAAACTTGTGATCACAATGGAGCCTGGCCATGATGACGTTAAGTTGGGATGGTCATAAAATGGGTCGGTCACGTGACCAACCTGATTTATTTATTTTTTTTGCACCAATTGTTAAATGAAACTAATGGTTCACTATGGCAATGGTTTTACGGAAATTTTGAATGCTGATTTTTGGCAAAACTATAATAAAATGCAGTCATGAAGTGCTGTAAATGGCCATGTTGCCAAATACCCAAAGTTGATCATGGGTATTGATCAGAATTTTGAATGTGGGTTGTATGTAGCTCCCAGGTAGGCCTGTCATAACGTTGAATAGTTGCTAAGCAACTGGTGGTAAGTCAAGGACAACATGTATATTCAATATCATTTATTGTTATGTGTTGGAAGAATTTCTATGTTATGGTCTTAGGATCTTTTTAATAATGCAGATGAAAAAACATTTTTAGGATACATAGAGTACATTGATACACTTAGCAACAAAAATTTGTATTAAAAACAGATTAATTGAAACAATTCTGCGGAAAATGCTAGTTCTTTGGAACTTCCTTTCACATTTCTAAGTAAACAAATCCACGACTGAGTTGACAACTGAGAATCTCAAGATAGAGTGAAATGATGATCATGCAGACAAATAAAAAGGGAAGTGCAAGGAACTCAGGCTGAAATGTGCTACACAGAAACTTAAAGATATAGCCATTCTGGTGGACTTCAGAAAACCAAGTTACACATAGATTGTGAGTTCACGTGTTAGCTATGAAAGCCAGTTGGATGACTTTGGGCCAGGCACTCTGTCTTAGCCCAATCTCCCTCACAGGATTGTTATTGTGGGGAAAATAGGAAGAAGGTCTGTTGGATACAGTATGGTTTACAGCCTTAAGTTATTTGTAAAAATAATAAAAGGATACAAATAAATACTTCTTCCAGAGGCAGCTTTATTTTCATTAAGGCTCTTTCCTGAATTCTCTAACCAGGATTAAGTTGTGATCAATATGCCTCAGCAAATTCCCTGCTTTTCTGGGCCTTATACTTACAATCTCATCTCCTGGCTTGCAACTGTCAACCAGGTCAGCCAGTAAAATGGCATCCTTTGAGCGAGGAAGCCTGCCAGCTGCCACCTTCCCTGGGCTCTCCTGGATTTTGATGCGCTGATAGTTCTGGTAGACTGTCTGTCAGGACATCAAGCACCTGAAGTTAGGAATTTCATGGAGCACAAAAAAACCCCTCTGCAACCAAAATTCTCAGCACATTCCTTAAACAAGAAGACACTAGATTCAAGGAGGTTTATACAAGACCGCTTTCCCTCACATCCATTTGAAAAACTTCAGCTCAGGCAAACTTGTATTTAGCTGCAAATGGAAAAACCTCAGCATCTTGGAGACTTGTCAAAATATAACACAAATCTACACACAGCAGACTATCTTTCAACTCACCTCCATAAAAGTTTTACATTTGTTTTTATTTTGAATTATGATTGTTCAACAATAATTTTGGCCTTGTAAGCTTTATGTGGAGTTTACCTGTGCGTTAAATGAACACATACCTTTTCCACACACTTCTTCCAAGCAAAGCTCCTTATAGAGTGAGCTTGCTCAGGATCATGGCAATTCTAAGGACCTTTCCATGGGTTCTGCTTTGTTGCCTCCAATTTTCATATCCAAACCTCCCTGAACTCAATCAACAAATTTGTCCTATAATTTCATCCTACTGACAGAGACTGCATTGCTTCCTATTGTGGTATGATTGTTGCTTCTTTTTTCCCTTCAACCAGTTAGAACTATTCGGAATGTCTTTGGTCTTACAGGATAGAATCTAGTATTTATGAGCACCTGGAAAAGCGCTACTTCTTTGTTGTAAAGAAGGGGATTCAACCTGGGCTCCTCAAACAACCAAAAGACTTCCAAGGCATCAGGCAGCTCCCCTTCCAAAAGATCTAAGAATTATGCAGTTTTAACTGTCTGAACAAAGATACAATGGTCCTCCTAATATCTCATCAAGCAAAGCTTACCTCTTCCATGTTGATATCAAAGGGACCAACAGATTGACACTCTGGGCAAGATCCTGGTTTTACTTCTTGGTTTTGAGACTGTGAGAAAGGCCCCAAGACAAAACCACATTTGGTACAATTATACTTGATCATGCTGAGCTGGGGAAGGACCCCTGTACAGCTTGTCACAACTCCACTTGTCCGGATAAGCTGGTTTAGATGTAATTGCCTATGAGAAGAAGCAGGAACAAGGCTCAAATATAAAGGATCTTGAATAGTTGAATATTACATTTTCTTTACACATTTCTGCAAAACTTTGAGAAGCAAAAAACTCATGAATGGGGGGAGGGTGTCAGCCTTGGAGGCCATCTTTTCTTTGGAACTTCAGGGCTGCCACATTTAGTGCCTGGGAAAATGGGAGGAGGGATTTGCAAGGAGTTGGTGAAGATATATAGCCATAACAACATTCTTTTCTCTGGGAATCAAGGACTTTCAGCCTGCACCTGGGTAGGAGTGACTGGATGATGTCTCCAGTTCGGATGAATTCATTGGATCATGTGACGAACATGTGGGTGCAGGGAATGGGTCTTTGACTTTCTTTTGGGTGGGGAAAACCCGGGAACTTTCAGATTCGGGTTTTCCCAGATGTGCTAATATGACATCTCTAATAAAATGGATCTTTGAGGAATTGCTAGCCTCCAAGTCTTCTTTAGTTGGGGGTGTTACCTGGAACCCTGACAGAGGGAAGGCAATTTAAATCAATGATAGAGGGCACTTTTTCAAGCAGGAGATCCCAGTTTTCATATTCAGACATTTCCTCTTAAAAAATGACCTCTAATAAGTATCCACCTAAGACCCTGATGATCAGCTGCCAGAGTAAATAACACAAATTAGATGGGTTATAGCTTGGTATAATAATGAAATATTGGATTAACTTTAGCTATGGAAAGCCCAACCTCCCTTACAAGTCATTGTGGGGCTAAATTGGTGGAAGGAATGCTATACTGGGGGCTGACAAACTCGCGGCCCATGGGCCAGATGAGTCACACACTGGCCACACCTGGTTTAGCGAAGGGGAAAAAAGTTGCGATTATGACATGTGATGCCGTGATGATGCGAGTTTGACACCACCCCGCTTACGCAAAACAGTACTCAGAACCTCACTAATGGCTGGTAGGATGAGTTCTTCACCAATAGTATGTGGCTTTCCAGACTTAGCAATCAGCAATGAAATGTTGTATGATGCACGCAAACCATCATTGTTTTGTTAGGAACCATTGTAAAACATTGCGTAACAGTGCTGGGCGCTTTTGAAATTTGTCACGAAGCGATTGAAAAAAAGTTAGGTTCTTGTCTGCTTTGTCAGGATGTGCCTTCTTCAAATGTTCGTTCAGTCTGGAAGGCTTCATTGCCACATTAGAAAATACTTTTTCACATAGCAGGCACTGTGGCAGCTACTGGTTTATAAATCCATACTTTAGATATTCCACACTACATTGTCTACATTTCTTCTTTGATTTTTCTGCTTCTGCCATTTCTGCTCTGAAAATCAGAATGCTTACAATATGTGTGTGTTCACATCTGATTTGAAAAGAGTTACAGTTGCGGGAAGGGGGGAGTAGTAGAAACCTGCTTTTTTAATTTAAAAAAATAGGGAAAGTTTGCTGAGCCAGGCAAAACAGAGCAGCACACACGAGGCTTAGCGTGGCTGCCAGAGTACGGTACGTGCAGGTGCAGGAGGTAATGGGGTGAGTCGGGCCGGAACCAGAAGTGCTCAGCTGACTGACGGCTGACAGAGCCCCAGGCTGAATTGCGCCCTGCGAGGGGCCCATCTCCAGCACTACTCTACCACCCCCCTTGCCTCTTAGCACCCCCCCTGCCGCTCCCCTTGCCTCTTATTGCCACCCTAAGTCATCCCACTGCCCCCCAGGGTACCGCCCCCTTTGGGAACCACTGCTGTAGAGGAACACTTTAATAGGCAGTCTCTTCATTTTTGTCCTTGATGCAGTAATGCTACCAGAGACCTACTCAATAGTTTATCATCTGGATCACTTACATCCTAATCAACTATGGGTCATAAATCATTAAACAGCCTTGATAGGTTTAGTTAGTGCTGCCAACCTCAATACTAAACTGCCTTCTTACCTAAGTGATCGTAACTCCTCCACCAGAGGTAGATGTGAGATGCGGACATGGATTTCCTGAGCAATCCGGTCATATTTGGGATACATAGCCATTACTACTTCCTTGGCTGCTTCATCGAAGATCTTCAACATCTCAGCTGGGGCTTCCGGAAGGAAGTAGGCAAGGACATGTTCCCGGGCAGCCAAATCTTCATAATTCACCACCACACTCTCTTTATTCTCTGCCAAGAGAAGACTTTTTTTTTAAAAGGCCCACCACTGCAGAAATGCAAAAAAATGAGTTTATTTGGTTCCTTCTAAAATGTATTTGCAATCATTATATGGCAGTCCTTCTTATGTTTTATTTGAACTTCGGTATTCTTTTTTAAAAAAAAACAACTATGCTTTTGTTGTGAAAATAGTTGTCAGCTTCTACTGAAGGAATTCTATTCATCATGGCTAAGAAAAATGAACATTAAGAATAAAGGTATTACTCTAATAGATGTGTTCCTTAGAAACCTGCTAGCCAATATTTTAGTAACTTAAACACCGGCATTATAATTCAAAATAATTAAATAGTTGTTCTTAACTCTTGCAGCACAATTCACCTACAAAAAAAGTATAAAGATATGGAAGGGAAGAAAAAGTGCAGCCCATATAGGTACAGTATAGTTCTAACCATGGGAAAAAGAATTAAACTGAGATATACCCCACAAATATTATGTCTATTCAGTAAAGGAGTCTTAAGTGGTTTGTTAGGATCCATCTGAATAGTATAATCAGGAACCTTAATGAAAAGTCACCTACCAGCTATGATCATGTGGTATGAGATATAATGTAAGTTAAAAGAAATATATCTCAAGCAATGACTAAGTTCATACAGCACACTAAGCCATTATGTGGTTTGTGGTTTAGCATGTTGTATGAATCCAGCAAATAGGTTTTGTAAACAATGGTTTGGCTTGCAATGTATTATTCTAGTTTGAAAACTGGTTTAGTGCAGTTATGAAACTGGTCAATATGAGTCATCACCAGAAACATTTGAAACTAGCACTCTGGTTTTCTAAACTACTTTTCTTGCATTCCCACAGTTGTACCTTTACACATGTCACTGATCCTCTCTTTGAAGACATTGTGACCATGATCATCCACATGGGTCTTTAGGAAGTTCTTGAAGCGATGGTAGATCTCAAGACGGGGAGCTGCCATGGACACCCATTCTCTCACCGAATGCCCCTTCATGTCTTCCAGGTTCTCTATGCTTTCGATCATGTCTTCCTCCTCTTCCTCCATACCTTCAGCAGCCCGTTCAGCCAGGCGCCTCTTCCGCAAAGGACGACCCTCATCTTCATCATCACTCTCTAGAATTTAAAAGGTGGGCAGAAGCAGAGGAAATAAAAAGGGATTATCAGACAGCTGCATAAACATAGAACTGTTAATGAAGCTAAATCAATTCTCTGATAGGACTCTTAGATGGATGTCCTCTTTTTTAATAGCTTTCCCCAAACGATCACCCCACAAATACATTGGATTTCTACAATTTCTTGTTCAACATGATGCTCATGTCTTATGAGGCTATGTATAACTTCCCATTGGGAGATGATGAGAAATGTATCATCTGGAGAGCACCAGTTTGGAATCTGCGGCTCTTCTGATTTAATGCTATTTCAAGTGTCAAGCAATTTTTTTTTCAAATTTTGCTACATTCTAAAAATTCTCTGTTTTTAATTTATTTGCTTTCTTATTGTTTGTTGTAATTTTAACATATTGAAGACTCTTGGTTAAGAAGAGTAATCCCATTCATATGTATATTTATTTAGTAATCAAATTTATACTCTGCCCATCTCATTATCTAAAGTGACTCTGAGCGGTTTATGAATTAAAAACCATTCCATTTACATATGAAAGTAAATATTAAAATGATCAGCTATATACTCAGAATATCTCATAAGACTGAGTAGTGTGGGACTGACTTTTATTAGTAAGAAATAAATCAGAATCAGTCTTGTAGGTAATCAAATTGCTCATGACTTATTTGGCCAGATCTTTTTTTTAGTTGCTCATGCCTTGGACCTTTGTGGTTGCCATACACTTTCATGTCTATATCCCCAAGCTCAATGTTATGTGACCACATTCAACAAACCCCTGAAGTCCCAATTTCCATTGTTAAGTGAAGATCATGGATTGTTAAGTGAGCACCTTCTCACAACTTCCTACTGGCTTTCAACAGCCAAAGTCAACGGGGAAGCTGGCAGGAAATTGAAAGCCTCAGATGGAGGCAAATGGCTACTGCCAAATAGAGAAGAGCACATGAGTGAGAGGAAAATACAGTGCAAGAACAGTGGGGGGCTTCTGCCAGTGGGAGAGAGGGTGTGAGTTGTGGGGGAGGTGTGGCATGAGTGTAGTGAGGCTTCGGGAGGGTGTGCAAGTGGTGATGGAGGTGCAGCATAGTGTGGCTGCTTGTTGTGGCCCGCTGGCGGCCAGCTGAGCTGGCAGCCGAGTCAGACAGTGAGGATATTGGGGAGGAACGTGGGCCAGTCCTGGGGGCTGGGGAAAGCTCGGACAAGGGCTCTGCGTTGGAGGCAGAGAGGGAGACAGACAACAGTGAGGCAGAGGAACAGCTGGAGCCCGTTCCCAGTGTGCGCATGCGCAGAGCTGCCAGAAGACAAGAACAACTAAGAAAGCAGGATCGACTTGGGAGTAAAGCCACACCTTGGAGATGATTGGCCCCTCCCATAGGAAACAAAAGAAGAGTGAATGGGGAGGGGGCTTTTGCAGGAAACAGTTCGTTCGTTCGGTTGTCTCAAGAGTGGAAAGTTCTGTTCGTGACTCTAAGAGACTCTGTGTCAAGTTTTGCCTTACACTGCGTTTGGAAACAAGTTACGTGGCAGTTTGTCAAGCGAGATAAGGTATGTCGATAAATATTCCTTTGAAAAACTGTTTGGACAAGCCTTGCTGACTGTGAATGAAAGTAATTCACAGTCCTGTTAATTAAAGCGGTTTTGCCGGGACCAAGACTCTGCTTCCTGCTTTTTAAGGGAGCCTAGGTCAGAACACTGCTGCTGGGTGGGAGAGGGTGCACAGGGGGCGATGAAAATGTGGTGCAAGCACAGGGGGGCTGGGGGAGGTTGCACAGGTGAGGGGAGACTAACATGAACAACTTTTAACTTTCCTTCCAAGCTTCCCCATTGACTTTGCTTATGGAAAGCTGACTGGGAATCGTAATCATGTGACTGTGGGACACTGCAACTGTCTTAAATGTGACTTAAGGAAATGCATAAAGCAAGCCATCACTACCCATTCATTTAAAAATGTACCATAAAGCAGTCCACTCCGCATGCGGCCCAGGCCTCGACCCATCTCACGGTCCCTCTGTCTCATTGCACGTTCTGCAGCTTCTCTTTGGCTGGCAGTTAGCTCTTCCAGATCTTCATCATTCAAGGCTAAACCTTCAGCTTCATAGACATCAAGCTCAGGAATAGGACGATAGTCCCTGGACAAAAAAATAAATAAAAACTTGTTCATCAACCACATTGCATAAGCATCCTGAGTACCTTACTTATTTTGCAAAGCACCAGATCTGACATTTATATTTGGATATCACAACTTGTACGACCCCCCTGCGCTCCCCCTGCTTTTGGCACGCGATGGTACAGTGGGCCTGGTTCTTTGCCCTCCCCAGGCTCCAGAGCCTTTCTAGAAGCCTGAAGAGGGCGAAAACGGCCTCCCCCCCCCCCCCCCGGAGGCCGGAAATGGCCTTTTCCCCGACTTCCAGTGGACCCTGAAGGCCCGAAAATCAGCTGGCTGACGCATGCATACCCGCTGGAGCTGAACTAGGGCAATGCTCGCGTGCCCACCAATATGGCTCCACATGCCACCTGTGGCACACATGCCATAGGTTCGTCATCACGGGTATAGGGTCTCCTGCTTGAGCAGGGGGTTGGATTAGAAGGCTTCCAAGGTCCCTTCCAGTTCTATTCTTCTGACTGATTGATTGAACAGCTGGTTTCCTCCCCAATCTCCTCCTAAATGGTTATAATATTCCATTACAAGATTGACAGAATGCAGCTGGCCAGAATTTTTTATTACAAATAGAATCTCTGTCTGTCTGTCTCTCTCTGTGTGTGCACTTAGTGTGGGTGAGCCTCATTTTTAGATATTCCATTCTACAGCTTGTTATCTTGTTTGCTATTACTTCTTATTTCTTTTCTTTCTGGAATCAAAGAGCTACAAGCCAACTTTTAGCACTGATGGATTATTTATTTAGATAGCTTCTTTGCTTCTATCACTTATTAAATCAATGTATTAACTATTTTAGAATGTAACTTTGGGTGGGTGGCTAACAACATATTAAAACAATAACAACTAACAGAATAAAAACAGCATTCACAGAATAAAGTTGAAAAAATATTTTAATCAGTGAGCTATGCTTCTAATTACTTGTGCTAACACTAAATGGGATATATCAAAGGGACAACTACAATGCAACTTTGAGTCATAAACCTTGCAATTGTACTGTTGTTTTCTGTGGCAATTGAATGCACTGGAAAGAAAAAATTTTGGGAGGAAAAATATTAAATTTCCCAACGCATCTATACATGCAGCATTACCATTTTTCAACATTCTCACAATGTTTATGACTCCCTTTTCATATTTTTTCTCAATTGCTTGCATTTGCAGCACTGATTTAATGTGGCATCCAGTGTAGTAATAGTATTGTTCTCATACATATCTCTGAAATACCTCTTCTAGCATTTTCACATTTGTTTCATCCCAAATAGTATCATCACTTTTATTTTCCATTTTATTCACTCTGTGAGAGGCTTTATTTCTCTTCATTTCATTGCAAAGTTTTGTTATTTCCATCAAATTTGCTATAAATTCTCTCTTCCTCTTTAAGCTTAATTATTTCTTCCTTTGACTAAATGCATTAATTCTTTACTCTCTCTATAAGGTATTAGTTTCCTCTTTTCTTGCAGCAATGATTCCTCTATGTTTTTTCATCTATAGCCTCTTTCATTTCATTCAATTAAGCATACTTTTTACATATCCCATTACAATAACTTCATACACTTCTATGGGAATTATGAATTTAGAGCAATTTAGATGTGCAAATCCAGCCCTTATGAACTTCTACTTCATCTCTTAAATTTGAAGGTTTGCAACAAATGGCGTCTTGTCACTTGACTTAAGTTCTGTAATTAGATACTTGAACTGAACATCAGGTAATGTATGGCTTTTAAACTATCTAACAATATCCATCAAGGTAGATATTATCTAGAATAGGGATGGCACATTCAGATACTTGTGGAAGTTTTAGAGGCCCATAAGCAACTGGCTCAGTGCTTAGCCTTTGATTTCTTTCTTAATTGAAACAATTCCTTTATATATTCTAGAACAGGGGTGTCAAACTCGCATCATCACAGCATCGTCACGTGACATATCGCGACTCCCCCCCTACGCTAAACTGGGTGTGGGCGTGGCCAGCACGTGCTGCATCAAGCCCCCGGGCCGCGAGTTTGACAGCCCTGTTCTAGAACAGGAGTCCCCAATCCCCAGGCTGCAGGGATGCATGAAGCTCTGCTCGTGTGAGCGGAGGGCGCTTGTGCCACTCACACCCCCTCCCCTGCGCTGGGCCACCAAATTGGAAAGGTTGGGGACCGCTGTTCTAGAACAGGTGCATTTCTAACAGGATAGAAGTTGGGATAATTTTGGTCACAATCGGTTATCTTCTCCCAAACTAATGAGGAACCCTGCACATTTTCTGTGTTTATGTTTATCAACAAGAATAAAATGCAAAACAGAAAAACATATCCAGAAAAAAGGAAAAAATTGTATGCAAAAAATGGGAAAAAATGACCCAAATTTCAAGCAAATCTAACATTAAACATAAAAAGATCCACCCTTAAAAAAGAAATTTAAAAAACCCTGATAAATTCTCCTCCCTTTACATAGTGGGTCTACACATAGTTATAAGCTTTCCCATCCTTATCTATCAAGAATACTATATTAAATAAACAAATATTCCAAATGAAATGATCTCCATCTAATCATAATATATTTGTGAAAAACAGAAAAAAACCCAACAGGTTAGCTCAAACATTACATCAATCTTCAAATCCCAGGAACCCTGCACATTTTTTAACTGATTATGGTGAAAAGAAAATCATGGTTACTAGTTACTATTAGCAGGAAGCCAAGCAATGCAGTTATAATCAACTAATTGACTACTGTATGTGATTAACTGATAGAGCACAAATTTGCTGATTTCCTACTGCTGATATACTGTTTCCCCAAAAATAATACATCCCGATAATAAGCCCAATCGGGCTTTTGAGCGCATGCGCTAAAATAAGCCTCCCCCTGAAAATAAGCCCTTCCCGAAAATATTTAAATGTAGAGCTGGAAATCAGGTAAGACGGCAAGAGGAGCCCCATCTTGCTCCACGCACCCCAAAATAATAAGACCTCCCCCAAAATAAGGTCAAGCGCTTATTTCAGGGTTCAAAAAAATATAAGACAGGGTCTTATTTTCAGGGAAACACAGTAACAGCAAGGAATGAGAAAGACCAAGGAGTATGACAATGTGTGTGGGAGTGTCCTGTATATGAAATAATGCAGTCTGAATTTACTGCCACACCAATATCAATTTATGATATTAAATACAAACACCTTCACATTTGCCCCTTTGAAGTTGACCTGATTTACATTGAATTGATGAAACAGGCAAGAAAAGAGAACCTAGCTGGACAGAATGTCAAATGTTTCATTTTCAGGTTTCATGTGAAAACATGAATCTGGGAGGAGGTTTCCATACCTTTCCATCCCTTCACCAATCAACTCCTCTCCATCTTCGTCCTCTTCATCAGGGAGTCCCTCTGTCCCCAGGAGTCCTTCAGACTCATCCTCGAAGGGTGGTAGATCTCTCCCTGGACTGGATGTGAAGGCCTCTCCTCGGCGAGAGTTCTGCACTGGGCTGGTAGCCATGTTCGACTCAGAGGAATCCTAACACAGCAGACAAGAGTTCAAAATATACTGTGAATTTGGTTAGTATACAGGTAGCCCTGTACAGGTAGCCCTTAGTATACAGGTAGCCCTCGATTTACAACAGTTTGTTTAGTGACCATTCAGAGTTAACGGCACTGAAAAATGTGACTTATTTATTTATTTATTGGTTCGATTTATATGCCGCCCTTCTCCGGAGACTCAGGGTGGCTTACAATGCGTTAAGCAATAGCCTTCATACTTTTGTATATACCTGCTTAGTAGGGCTTTTGCCCCCCCCCGCAAGCGGTGTTCTTTTTTATACAAAGTCAGCTTATTGCCCCCACAATCCGGGTCCTCATTTTACCTACCTTGGAAGGATGAAAGGCTGAGTCAACCTTGAGCCTGGTGAGATTTGAACTCGCAGTAATTGCAGGCAGCTGGTAGCTAAGTGCTACTTAATAGCACTTTAGTCCACTGCACCACCAAGGCTCTTATGACTGTTTTTGACTTTTTTTTGACTGTTTTTGACTTTTTTATAGTTATGACCTTTGAGGCACCCTCATGATCATGCGATCAAAATTCAGACGCTTGGCAACCGGTTCATATTTACGACTTTTGCTCTGTCCTGGGGGTCACGTGACCCTTTTGCATCCTTCTGACAAGCAAAGTCAATGGGGAAGACAGATTCACTTAACAATCGGGTTTCTAACTCATCAACTGCAGTGATTCACTTAACAACCGTGAAGAAAAGTCATCAAATGGGCCAAAACTCACTTAACCTATGTCTCACTTAGCAAATGTCTCATTTAACGACAGAAATGTTGGGCTCAATTGTGGTTGTAAGTCGAAGACTACCTGTATTTTCCTAGGACTTGGTTTGGTTCGAATTTTCCAAACTTCTCAATGTGCAAAAGGAAGGTCAAATGAGACAGACTAAGAGAAGCGCCTGTTGACTACTCCTGGCAAGAACTGCGTGACTCTTTATTTTTGCTCTTTTTTAAATTCCAGAGAGATCCTTTGGGTTCAGTTCCAAAACAGCCGTGCCTGAGAATATTTCTTTCTACTGCCATCTTCTAAACTCCTCCTGGGGTTTGACACGGGCGGCACAGACCTCCCGGTCTACGGCTGGGCAGGAATTTTGCACGAATGAACGGAAAAGTGCCTAAAATTTCACTCTTCCTGCAAATTTCCGCCAGGCAAAAGGTCTGGATGCAGCTTCTAAAACGAAGCAGCAAAACTACGAAATGAACGGCTAAGTGGTTAAAAAAAAAAACAAGAGGACACCAAACGATCCCAAAAAAAGGCTGCCCACCAAAGGGACGCAAATGCAAATAACCAATACAAGAAAAGCCCTTGCAGGTCAGTTGCTCTCTTACCGCCATTTCTTCTGCTTCCCGAGCTTCTTCCAACAACAGCACCCCCTGCAAACTACAAGCGCCGCCGGAGCCTGAATTCCGCGCGGATGAAGGGTCACGTGATCAAAAGCCCGCGAAAGCTTAGGCATCCTGACGCAACGTCTTATGAATATGCAAATATTAAGCCTAGAGCCTAGCGGAAAGCTCTCTTATGAATATTAACGAGGAGGCGGGGCGGTCCGTCGCTGGAGAGGAAAGACGGCGGAGGGGAACTTATGAATATTAACGAGGGGGCGGGGCCGGGAACTGTAGGCTGTGGGGGAGGAGATAGGTGAAAAAGAAGAAATAAAACGCGGCTCGACGGTGCTGGGAACTTTGCTCCGACGTCCTTGGTGAAGGAGGAGTTGGGGAGTCCAGCACTCTGGAGAGCACCACGTGAGCTCCGTGGTCTCCCGTCGGCCGGGAATGCTTATTATATGGGGCTGCCTTCCAGTCGTGCAATGCAATTCCGTTGCCGTTTCGTTTCGCTGAATTGTTTAGCCCTCCAATTTCTTCCAAAGCGGCGAAATAAGCCACGAGAGGGGGCGCGCCGACGGTGCTTGTTTTGCCTTCGTTAATAAAGAAGTTTGCTTAACAGGAGACGCTTTGCAAATGCTTAAAAGGGATGCCAGTCCGAGGAAGGGAGTACTTTTAGGGGGGGTAAAACCCCCCCAAAAACTCGAATTCGCCAAAATAATCCAGAATAAAAAAAAATGCACATTTTGCAAACTGTCTTTTTTTTTTTTTGCTTCGATTCGTAAATCAGAAGTATTGGCCGGCTTTGCCAAAGGAACCGGCGCGAGGACTACCTAACTAACTTTCCCAAAGACTTTCTTCAAAGCCTTTTTGGAAACGGTTGCGCGCCGCCACTTCGCCTTTAACGCCCTGCCGGTTGTTGCTGTTTTGTTTTTTTTTTTCTCTTCCCCTTTTTCCCCCCTCAGCCCGAGACTCCGCCCCTCCGCTCCTTTTTCATTGGCTCCTTTCGCCCCTTTCGTTTCGCTTTTTGAGCCGGGCTTCTTCTTTGAGGGGCCTCGTGATTGGCTGGCGCGACCCTGGGATTGACGGCTCAGGTCTTCCTCAGCTGGCGAGGTGTGTGTGTGTGTGTGGGGGGGGGGGGGGGGGGTTGTGGGGGGGGGGGGGGGGGGGGGGGGGCGAGCGAGGCTGCTCTTCCTCCGCGCGCCGCTCGTCATCCTGGCTGGGAGGCTCGATGGCGCTGCGCCTTCTTTCCACTGCGGGCGCCTGTCTTGTGAGCCACGGCAGGAAGTGGATGGGTCGCCCGGCCGCGGCTTCGCTGCTTTAGCTCCGGCCGGCTTGTCAACGACGCTCCTCCTCCGGGACAGCCTTCCACCCATCCCTCCCTCCCATATTCTGGACCTGGGACCTGGGACGGAGCCTTTGCTGTGGCTGCAGGATGGTCGGTGGAGAGCCCCGGGCATGAGCCAGAGAGCCAGCGCCAGCGAAAGCGGGACAGGCCGCCTCCTCCTCCTTCTCCTCCTCCTCCCTCGGGCTGCGAGCGAAGATAACAAGGGAGCTGCGGAGGGCGAGCGTGGCTGACGGCCGGAGGAGAAACGAAGAGCGAAAGGCCAGGTAAGGAGCTCCCTGGCTCCTTTTAAAGTGGCCTTAATATCTTAGATGCCCCCATTGCCCGGCCATGGGTGATCCACCCAAGATTTCTCTGGGGGCGGGGGGGGAAACTTTGGGGCCGGGAAGGAGAGATCTCTCGTCCAGCCCTGTCTGTTTAAAAGCAAGCAGCAGATCCCCCGGCTTTGAAGAAGGGATTTGTAAAATCCACCCCCGTTTCCCCTCCCGGCACTTCTTGCCTAATCTTGAACCTGGTGACCCTGGTCTGCTTTCCTGGTAATGTTTTTGTGCAAGAAGCAACGGGGATCGTTCGCTGAGTCTTCGGAGAGGGGCGGCATACAAATCGAATTAATAAATAATAAATGTTGAAGATTTCTCGTGTGTGAATGCCCCGTTTCCCCCCTCCCTCCCCTTTTGATCAATTCCAGGGTTTTTATAGTAATGCCCCACTTGGACCGTTTTATTTCCTTGAGGGATCTTCGGAGAGGTCCGTGCATCGCACCTCTCTTTGAGTTGAAACTCCTGAAATTCCTGAAATAGCATCCTTAGTTGTTGTTGTTCAGTTAAGTCGGGCCTGGCTCTTCACGACCCCATGGACCACACAGCTCCCATGCATGGCCCCGAAATGTTTTGGTGTCAACACCCAACCAAAGGTCCTTTTTACTATCAGGAATCAATCTCTGGCAGGGAAAAATGCCTCTTCTGCAAGAGCCCAATGCTCTTTTTCTGATGTTTATTTTAGACAGAGATTGGTAACTTCTACAGTCATTTAATCTGGAATATGTGGAGTTTTCCAGTCGGTGATTTAAAAAATTTCCTCCTCTCTCCACTAACCCATGCTGTGGCATTTTGTGTGTATTCCCTTCTGTAGTTTGGTAACTTCTAGCAACTTCCCATTTATGTTTACAATTGACTTGCTGTTGAATGAGTGTTTTAGAGGTCGTTAGACGAAATATGCTTTTCAACATTGTGGTAAGTTAAAATATAGTTAAAACCCACAATTTAAACTTTTTAATATAATTAAGGCACAAAATCTTATCCTCTGAAATTGTTAGTCGGTTGGGATAATGCTGAGAGTAGCAGTGACTCAACGGAGGTTCTCATTCTACTGTAGGGTCAGTCATAGATCTTTAATTTTGGTTTTGGGCTATACAGATTCCTTTCAGGGCATACAGTGGACTGATAACATTGTAATTGTCCATAGTTGCTTGGGTTTTAGGGTAATATTCAAATGATTAAAAAAGGAATCCTGACTTAATTTTATATGTAAATCACTTCTGCCATATTTTCTGCTTTTTTCCTTCTTTCTTACTACTGTAGTTAGTTATATGAAAGCTTGCCTTCTCTTGTGATTTCCAAACTGGTCACATAACTTTGGTAATATATTATGATGTAATTAATAATGAATTTCTAGTTTTTTTTTCTGCTGTGCAATGCAGGAAAAGTGAAACAATTTTGAGGCTGACTGGAGGAACAGTATTTGGCTGCTTGAGGTTGTTTCTCTTTCATTTCCCCTCTTCCTGCCTCTTTTTTCTGTACATAGAGATTGACTCTGTTGACAGTAAATCTTAACTGATAATAGGAATGTAAAAAGTAAATAAATTTGTTCCCATGATGGATTACCTAACTACCTGCAAGGGACATCTACAAAGCAACCAGCACAGTATTTTCTTTTTAAAGAGTCCCAGAAGGGAGTTGGTCCAACCCATTATTCATTGTGGTTGGTGATTGATCTGTTGTATGCTTTTCTATGTTTTTCTTTATATAGTTTTAAAAGCATTTCAATTAAAAATACAAGTTACTAATAAAAAGAGGGCATGTTGCTGTACTATAGAAATGTTTTCCTTCAAAGAAAAAGTTCTAACCTATTATGTAATAAACTATATGGTGAAAAAAATCTATACTAAACTTGGGTGGGGAAAATCCGTGAAAAACAAAGAAGTTAAAAGAAATAACAACCAAATAAAATTATCCTCAATCTAAATATATAGAAGAAAATCAAGCCATTAGAATGAAAAAAGTTAGATTGTTGAAATGATATAACTTTTCCAATTTCATTGTTACGATTCAATTTTTAAACAGTGAATTATACAGAAAGTTTTCAACTTACGACCACAATTGAGCCCAACATTTTTCTTGCTAAGTGAGGTATTTGTTAAGTGAATTTTGCCACATTTTATATTCTTTTCTTGCCACAGTTGTTGAGTGAATCATTGTACTTGTTAATTTTTTGACAGGGTTAAGTGAATCTAGATTCCCCATTGTCTTTGCTTGTCAAAAGGTCGCAAAAGGTGATCTCATGACTCTGGGACACTGCAACCATCATAAACCGTTCATAAACAGTGAATCAGTTGCCAAGTGTCTGAATTTTGATCACATGATGATGGGGGTGCTACAATAGTTGTAAGCATGAAAAATAGTCATAAGTCACTTTTTCAGTAGTGTTGTAACTTCAGTCACTGAACGAACTGCTGTAAATTGAGACTTCCTGTACCTAGACTGTACAGAAACATATTGTCCAGTCTTACCTTTAATGCATAATTGACTCAAAGGGTACAGGGTGATGATTTTTTTACTTCAGATACGTTCTTCAGATATGGAACACAGATTTGTATAAAGGCTTTATATATTTTGTTTCAGTTTTTAAAATCCTTTCCTAGGAATTCCCCACTGGAATTTGTCTCTTTCATGCTAGCTGCATGTCTGCCTTTCCCCCACCCCCATCAATCTAGCTACCATTATCTCACTGTCCATTTTCCTAGTCAGTTTTTTCCCAGCTGAAAGCAGCATTATTAATGAACCATTTGATGGCCCGAGATCAACTTAAAGAATTTAGGTCAGAGTTGAGCGGTAACCTAGCTTTTCCTTTTGTTTGCACTGTCCACTGTCCAGAAAGAATGTTTAGGGGTTCTGTCTCTCTAATGATATAACTAGTTCTAAACTGATTGGAAAAAACTCAAGTACTAATCGCCTAGCATGACAGGAAGTGTGATCATTGTGACACTTGCTTTAAATATTAGGAGACTTGCTGGCACAATTTACAGTATGATTAAGTTGTTGACAATGCAACAGAGGTGGTATTCAGCAGGTTCTGACCAGTTCTGGAGAACCGGTAGCGGAAATTTTGAATAGTTTGGAGAACTCGTAAATACCACTTATGACTGGCCCCGCCCCCATCTATTCTCTGCTTCCCGTGTCCCAGCTGATTGGGAGGAAATGGGGATTTTGCAGTAACCTTCCCCTGGAGTGGAATGGGAAAGGAGATTTTACAGTATCCTTCTCCTGGAGTGGGGTGGGAATGGAGATTTTACAGTATCCTTCCCTTGCCACGTCCAAGCCGCCCACCAAGCCATGCTATGCTCACAGAACCGGTAGTAAAAAAATTTGAATTCCACCACTGGAATGCAAGTATTGCACTGAAATGGAGCTGTATTATTATTAAGGCAGATCCTTTCAAAAGATAATCACTCAAGACCTTGGCATATACATACAGAAGGAAAACAAACTTGGGGGGGGGGATGAACTGAGATACAGGAATCATAGAGTCAAAAGGACCAGATAGGCCATTGAATTTAATTTCCTGCTTAATGCAGAAATCCAAATTAAAGCACTCAAGACAGATGCTGCCTACCCTCTGAGAGCACACATCCAATGAAGCAAATATCACTATTCTGAGTAATTGGTTCCATTGCTGAACTGCTGTTACTTCATGGAAGTGAAATTAATGAGATGCCTAATGCATTGCAAACCTATCAGAAATGCACATTGTGGATGCCAGATTTAATTTATTTTGCATTGTATTACAGTTGCAGTGTGAGTAGCCGTGATATATTTAGGGTATTAAAATAAAGCCAGCAGTATCTCCTAATTTTGGCAATTTTAAGATATGTAGACTTCAGTTCTCAGAATTTCCCAGCAACCATCCTGGAAATTGATGTCTATATACCGTAGGTAATTCTCAATTTAAAACTGTTCATTTAGTGACTGTAGTTACAACAGCACTGAAAAAAGTGACTTATGACCATTTTTCACACACAAACATTGCAGCATCCCCATGGTCACGTGATCAAAATCCAGAAGCTTGGCAACTGGTTCATAGTTATGACAGTTGCAGTGTGCCAGGGTCATATGATCACCTTCTGACAAGCAAAGTCAATGGGAGGGCCAGAAATTTTGGTCGTAAGTCGAGGACTACCTGTACATCTTAAAGCTGCCAAAGTTGAGAAGCACTGAATTTATGCACGACCAGTAAAATATGCATACTGATACAGATTGAAAGCATCTAGAAGTACTTCAAAATTCTTACTGTTGCTTAAACCACAGCAGATGTACTTAGATGATAATCTTCAGATAGAGTACAATTGTCTCTAAAGCAACAAGTTAAATCTTTCAGAAAATGTTATGGTTGCACTCTTAGCAGTCTTTCTATGGGACACTATGAGATTGTTTCCAATAAACTTGTATAAGGTTGTGCAGTCAGTGTAATGAAGCAAGGATCAAAAATTCCAGGTTAGTTGAGCTTCACTCCTATTACTTATGGTTTGTCACACAATCATTCAGATATTCAGCCTGGATTTGGCATTTTTATCCACTTATTAAGTCTTTTCCAAGGGCCAGGGATTGTTAAGGGAGGATGATGATTTGTGGTATCATCGCAGGATGTAAACTGTTCCTAGTAAAGCAGCCTTTTGCAATTGACTGACAGTGATGATGATAATGATGATGATGATTGTTGCTCATTGCACAGTCAGACAGATATTTAGATTTGATTTGGCACTTTTATTCACCCATCAAACCCTTTCTGAGGATCTGAAACAGACAGATATTTGACAGTGTTAAAAATCACTGTCACAAGACATAAGCTGCCCTTAGTAAAGCTGCCTTTGCCAATTGAGTGAAATTGATTTTATCAGTAGTAATGGTATTCAAGCAATGCTCCAGAAATTTGGGATTGCACCCAAGGCACCTATTACTGTTGGTACTATATTGGCTTTCTTCTGCCACAT